TCCCCTCGACTTCGTCTCGGGGATTATTCAACGATATTCACCTCGCCTTCTGTGAATAATTGTTAATTACAAAGACAAACTCGATCCACAAGCGACTGTCTCTTTTCAGCAATGGTGGAAATTAGCTAACACAATAAAAGAATTTCCCTTCAAACCTCTGGGATCATTTTCTCTGAGATTATTTAGTTCTTAATTCTCTATGTTACTGTTTTCTGTTGATTTGTTTGTATATGTGTGATTCATTTAGTTACCCCTTTTTCCAGGATTTTGAGAGAGAAACTTAAGATTAAACTAAGGTACAAAAGGTAACAATACTGTACATATGTTATAAAAATTTTGTAAACAGTTGAATAAATAAAAAGAATATTGCTTGAATTATGATTTTAAGTGCATACTGAACATTCTATCATTTCTCTTTGAGGAAAGCCTTGTGTTTCCAATATTTAAAGCTCAGTGGTGTTATTGGCTCTTTGGGCTGCAAAGATCAACATCAACAACAACAAAAATTATGCAATGGAAACATTCAGTATAATATTATCTGTACTTCTATGTGTTTGAATGCATTTGTGAGTGTTGATTCATTTAAACTGAAAACATACTATTTTGTCAATGCTTGATGTGATGCTATATAAAATTTTCTCTACAACAAGATTTAAATCAGAGTAGGCCATATGGAATTAATTGAACAGTAAATGTCCATGCAGGAGATTGTAAGTGATGTGTGAGAGTACAGTGCAGTCTCATTTTCCTGGTGTTATGAGTTACCAGTTTTTCTAAGCTATAGTGCTTTGCTCAGCAAACTCTGCTATTAGGCACTTCCAGCCAATATTTCTGGTCATTCAAACCTCAGTAAGAAAGCAGATTAATATATAAATAATTAAATAATCCTAAAATTCAATTTTAAAGTGCTGTGTCAATTGTAGAATCAGTAATATGTTTAAGCTGCTTCTTGGCATAAGTCTGAAATGCAGACTCTGGGTATCATTCTACAGTCCCTAACTCACTAGAACTATGAAATATTTTCAGTAGACAAAATAAAATAATCTCAGTATATTTCATGTAATTTTACTTCTCCGTGAACCCTTTAACCTCTAAGAATGACTATATGACATAAGCATCTAATTTCTCCTTACAATATCACCCCTGAATCCCACATTAAGGTCACAAGAATAAAAGAAATGATCACCAACTAGAGAAGTCGTTGATGGTATAACAAATTTTCCATCTCAACATCTTAGGAAATGTTGATAAAGTAGTATAGAGAAAATGCATGCTGATCTTTAATTCCTTACATCTCCTTAGAACAATTATTTTTCTATGGTCAATTTTAAGGGTGAGGGAGGCATGTTGGGATTCAATATTGCAATGGGTTCCTCTCTGCACAGTGGATATTTCTTGTGGATGACTAGAAAGAGTGTAAGGTAATTCCTCTAATTTGCTATTGTTGTTTACTCCAACAAATGTTCATGTTAAAGTTTCCATTCAGTGCATGGCTTTCTTGGTGTTACACCCCTTGGAAATGGTTGAAATTAACTGTGCCTCATTGTTCAAGTTTTCTTTGCAACTTTCCCCGCTTTTTACATTAATTTATAAAATAATGTTCCATGTTTTACATTTCTTTATTTTCCCTCACACTGAACTCATTTCTATTTCTGAACCTTTTAATTTTCTACAACTCACCCATAAATTATTGCCTAGTGAAAGGAAGTGAACATGGGTTGACATTTTAATGTTTTTTCTATTTAGCTGCATTATTCAGTATTAAAGGTCTTCTGTGATGTCTGAGCTACATGTATCAAAGGTAACAGTAATGTGATAATTGAATTTTCTTGTAGGACTGTGTAGTTTAATTTTTATCACCAAGAAAAATGCTTCTTAATTAAGAAATGCATATATATCTTTCATTTTCTGTTCAAGGGTATACTATTAAACTACATGTACTAGACTTTTAAACTGGAAAACCCTATTATTTGGTTAATGTTTTACAACCAGCAAACAGAATAGTCATTTGCTGGTACATGTTGAGTTTAAAAAAGAAAAGAAGTTACTCTTGAAGGAGAACATTATTTGTTACATGCATTGCGTGGACATGCAGTTACACCTTATGTAGAAGTCACGAGGTTGACAAAACTTTGAAATGATACATCTCATACATGTACATGCACCTGACTTTGTGACATTAGGAGCAGCAAATTTAGACAGACATTGATGGAATATGTAATTTTACACATGAATGAGCAATTCCCCAAAGGAAACTTGCAAATTATTTTGAATGCCTTTTTCTTTGCTTTTGCAGGATTTTGACATTCCCAGTGTAGCCTTTACATCACAAGAAGGCCAAGAAAACAGGAAACTAAAAGTCACTTTGCTGAGCAGTGAGTGGAGATCATCAACTGATGGAGACCTGTCAACCATAAACAGGGAGCTTGCCATACAGTTAGCTAAACACTCCAATGTAGAAGTTAGTGTCTTTCTTCTGCAATGCAGTGAAGAAGACAAGAGCAATGCAGCAAGTCATCATGTGCAAATTGTTGAAGCTGAAAAAGTGATTGGTTGGAATCCAGTTGACTGTCTGATTAATGTCCCTGAGGGACATGTCATGGATTGTGTAGTAGGACATGGAGTAACTCTTGGCAAACAAGTGCAGGTCATCAGAAAACATCACCAATGCAAATGGATCCAAGTTGTTCACACCGCCCCGGAAGAACTTGGAATGTACAAAAGCATTTCACAAGGTGAACAACTGCAAAAAGCAGAAGTAGCATTGTGTGAGAAGGCTGATCAAGTTGTGGCAATTGGACCCAAGCTGGCAGACACTTACAAGCGGTACCTTCGTTGCAGTAGAAAGGAGCAGAATGTTTTTGATGTCACTCCAGGCATATTCTCTGAATTTTTGGATGTGGAGCAAGCCATTGAAGAAAGAAGAACATTCAGTGTCCTAGTCATTGGAAGTGTTGACAGCTCTGAAGATTTCATCTTGAAAGGTTATGATCTTGCAGCTCAAGCAATTGCTGAGTTGAAAGATAAATCCTACCAGCTCAAGTTTGTTGGTGCACCAAGAGGGAAAGGAGATGAAATAGCACAAAAGCTTCTTCAGCATGGTATTGATCATAATCAGCTAACTGTTCGCAGCTTCAGTGACAAGAGAGAAGTGTTAGCCAACCTATTCTGTGAGGTTGATCTTGTCATAATGCCATCCAAGACTGAAGGATTTGGTGTTAATGCTCTGGAAGCCTTATCAGCGGGTTTACCTGTACTTGTCAGTGGTAGTTCAGGATTTGGAGAAGCTCTGAGGGAGATGCCTTTAGGACCCCAGTGTGTGATTGACTCTGAAGATCCTAAAGTCTGGGCAAGGGAAATCAAGGCTGTGCGACGTAAAAAGAGGAGTGTGCGACTTGAAGAAACATTGTTTCTTCGTAAAAGGTATCTTGAGATGTACAGCTGGGAAAAGCCCATTAGAAGTCTTGTAGAGAGGATGTACAGTCTAGTATTTGGTAAGCTACTCTACATTAATATTGGGGAAGATCATTCTAATTATGTGAATTTACTGATAGCTACTTTTTACCCACTTGTTCAAAATTCAGGAGCTTTGTAAATTGTTGATCATTTCCATTTGAATCAAAGGTGATACTGAAAGAAGAAATTACAAGATAGTTAAGGGGTGAAAGCGGTTAAAGCTAGAGGTTTATTTTGTTTAATGACAAAAGTGAGGTGCCTTAAGTTTAGGGAATACACTTGGTCTGTGGTCATCTGCACACCTGCAGGCACATTTGATGTTATGAAGTAGTTGTTTGCAAGTGTAGGTGCCTTAGATAAACTCTTGGTGGTTTAGAAAGAAAATAAATAAACAGACAAATTATAAGCAGTAAGTGAATTGTTAGTTTAATTACCACCAAAATTAATGTTAAAAGAAGCACATTCTATTGATGTAGCTATTATAATTTGGATTCTTCATCTCAATAAGAAGTTGTCGAAAAAATTAAGGGGAAGTGTATCTTTTAGTAGTTAGATGAGGCTCTGCTTCCTTTTTGGGGTGTACTGAGCTGTAGTAACTTGAGTAGATGTCTTCTTTTACATGTAAATGCATATATGTGTTCATGCACTGTAAGCGATTCAATATTGTTGTTTTGAGAAAGTTGATGGATTCAGTTTGATCTCTCAATGTTTCTGAAGGAAAACATGAACGTACCAGTTGAGGAATATTAAATGTTGACAGGAACATTCTGATTGTGCCATTTTTCTTTTCTTTTCTTTTTTTTTTTTTTTTTTTTTTTCACCTCTAGGTTCAGAAAACAGACCACATATTGCAACTGGAGTTAAAAGGCCAGCTTCTTCTGATTTTCTTGATCATCATTCCAAACGATTTGAAAGAAAACAGATTAAATATGATCACCTTGAAGGTAATATCAAGATATTTAGTGATGCCAATAAACTAGTTCAATTTTAAATGACTCACATATCCTACACTTGCCTACTTTGTAAAGCTTGCTAGTGGTGCACTAGTGGGCCATGAAATACATTTTTCAAAACTATCCCAGTTTACTTTAATCTTTTATCTGTGAAGTTAACCGACAAGGCTGTAATTAACTAATGCGATGTCTGTTTTGGCTCTAAGGCTCCTCTGGTGGTTACTCATCTCATTTACCAACTGAATATGGACAGTTTTCTCTTCCTTCAGCCTCTGTGACTCAAGGCAAACCTGTTCATGAGAGAAGTCACGCTCAGGGTTTGTGACATTTTCAGTAAAGTGTTCTTATTATATTTTGGACTCGTCATGCAAAGCATTTTCTCTTATTTCATTATTTTTATTATTATTTTTGTTATTAAAGCCCGGATATAATTGAAGATTCTGCTTAATACGTTCAAAGCAGTTCACGGCCTTGCTCCTAAATATCCATGTGATTTACTGACATTTAAATCGTCCTTATATAACCTTAGATCTTCAGATAGTATTTTAGTTTCTATGCCAGCTACTAGATCCAAGACGTTAGGTGATCGAGCTTTTATGGTAGCAGCGCCAAGGCTCTGGAACTCTCTTCCAAAAGAACTTCGTGCGATTACTAATGTGAACAGTTTTAAGGCGCATATTAAGACTTATCTTTTTAAAACTTTTTATCGGTGAGCAATTTTATATTCAGTTCTATTCTCAGTTTGACATATTATATTGTTTAAGTTAATTTTTAATTTAATCAAAAGTGTAATGCGCTTTTGATCATTGTATGTAAAAAGCGCACTATAAATTGATAAATTATTATTATTATTATTATTATTATTATTATTATTATTATCATTTTACGTGGAAGAAAAACAAACTCGATCGTTTCGTAGACTGATCCAGTGAGTGAGATAATAANTTTAAGATTCTGCTTATTACGTTCAAAGCAATTCACGGCCTTGCTCCTAAATATCTATGTGATTTACTAACATTTAAATCGTCCTTATATAACCTTAGATCTTCAGATAGTATTTTACTTTCTATGCCAGCTACTCGATCCAAGACGTTAGGTGATCGAGCTTTTATGGTAGCAGCGCCAAGGCTCTGGAACTCTCTTCCAAAAGAACTTCGTGCGATTACTAATGTGAACAGTTTTAAGGCGCATATTAAGACTTATCTTTTTAAAACTTTTTATCGGTGAGCAATTTTATATTCAGTTCTATTCTCAGTTTGACATATTATATTGTTTGAGTTAATTTTTAATTTAATCAAAAGTGTAATGCGCTTTTGATCATTGTATGTAAAAAGCGCACTATAAATTGATAAATTATTATTATTATTATTATTATTATTATTATTGAATTTCCATTATTATGCTTTTTTCATGAAAACTAAACTTTTCAATTTTTGTGTAGGTATTACCTCTTTAAATTATGACTATGAATGTAGAAAAATCATATATGTGAACTGCGGTTTAAGAAATGAATGTGAAAGCGATCTTTGTAGTAATGGATACTACTTAAGCAGTAGAGAAAATAAGGCCTGAAAACGCTCAGGCCTGTATGGAATTTAAACCCACGATCTTTTACGTTAGTAAAACGGTACTTCCACTCGTCAGTCTTCCTTTGGTGGCACATAAAAGTATCAACAATCTTCAAATGTGCTCGTTACAAATAATAGGGGAAAATCTGATAAGAAATTGAATGACATTTAGTCTTAAGAGCTTTATTGAAATCACAAACTTTGCAACAATCAGTAAGAAGACACAATTATTGTAGTTATGGCGTGGGAAACATATTATTGAGAGGGTTAGATTCTCTCTGTTGAGATAAACTGGCTCTTATAAATGGAATTCTCTATTGCGGAAAGGAGTTGATTACTTTTTTATTAAAGTAGTACTTTCATCGAGTTAATACGACAGGGTGTAATTCAATTTTCCAGATTACCCGGAACAACTTGTAGAGCTGATCAGACGAGAGTACAGGGGCGCTGTACTGTGTCCCTTCCCCTGGTGTGAGGATGAATTGCAATTCGAACTGTCCAAGATCTTTACAAGACTGATGATCGTTGCCCGGAACAAAGAACGAGCAAAGTTATCCGAGAACCTCGTCAGAATGACTGATGTCTTTGAACCTCTCAAAAAATGTGACTGCACATCTCAATGTAAATGCAAACGTGAAAAACCAATAGTGAATTCGATCGAGGGGCCACTTGGGATGGACGAAATCGTTTACCGTCGGAAGCTTGCATATGATCGGTTAGTGGGGAAAAATGTAACTGAACGTTTTTTCTTGGAAGAGGCCATGCCTCTGTGGCCAACGAAATGCGACTGCACATCTCAATGTAAATGCAAACGTGAAAAACCAAGAGTGGTGTTGATCGAGGGACCACCTGGGATAGGTAAAACCACCTACTGTCAGAAGCTTGCATATGATTGGTCAATAGGGGACATAACAACTGAATCTTCTTTTCCTAAAGTGGACATGCTTCTACGGCTGACGTGTCGCGAGATGGAAACTTCTAACATCGAAGATGCTATTGAAGATCAGCTACTACCAATTAATGTAGACAAGAAAGACAAGGACAGTTTTTTCCAGTTTATTCGACACAATCAATCTAGAATCTTGTTGATGCTAGACGGATTGGATGAATTACCAAAGAACTTGTTTGATGAATTTTTGCCTTTGATTAGAGGAAGAGTTTACCCTCTAACTTATGTCGTGTTAACAGCTCGACATGAGGTAGGGATGAAAGTTCGGAGACACTGTGACGCGCTGTTTGAGATTGTAGGCTACACCGAAGACGATGCAGACAGTTACATCGAGAAGTACTTCAGCAAGCACGAGAATCCAAGTCTTGCTTGGGCATTGATTGAGGAAATAAGCAAGGAACCACAGCTCAGGGAATTGACTGCCAATGCATTGAACACAGCACTTCTCTGTCTTGTTTTTGAAGATCTAGGCGGAGTATTACCTTACAACAGAAGCATGTTGTATTTTGAACTTGTTAATTGTGTTCTTAGAAGATATTGTTCAAATAAAGGAATCTCTTTGGACGACAAAGATCCCGTAGAGAAGTACACAGACCAGCTAAATCAGTTAGGAGAGCTTGCCCTTAAAGCTCTGCTAAAAGATCAATTAGCTTTCACTTTAGTGGAGCTGAAAAATCAGTCAATCGAATTCCTTCAGCTTGGATTTCTTTCACGGGAGGCCAGTGCAAGCAAAATCAAACCAAAGCCAACGTACTCATTTATCCACAAGACTTTTCAGGAATATTTTGCCGCATTTCACATTGCACATGAATTACTAACTACTGACTGGGACAGGGCCGCCTTGCTGGCACAGCTTAGTCCTGTTGATAAGTACTGGCAGGTGTGGGAGTTTCTCATCTCAATGGCTGCAAGGAAAAATGATGATACAGCCATTTTACTGGTTTCCAGTCTATGGGCTTCCTTTCAGCACCAAAAGCAATACCCAAAACAACCGGCTTCAAAATCGAAGGACTCTCAAGATTTCTTCTTCAATGAATCTTACATGGAGCCCTCGCTGTGCAGGCTAAAACCACTAGAGTTGGGCTCCACACTTACACGCGGTGATGTCTTTGAAGCTAACATACATGATTGGCTGCTAGTTATGCATTCTCCAGTCGATGAAGAGATTTCACTTTTAGAGAAAATAGTTGATATCATCGATAAATGTGAACACCCTGATAGTAAACTCAAGCCTTACCAGATCAAGATGGCTGGTAAACTAGCACATTGTTTTCCTTTGGATAAAATAGGAGTGACCAAGGGGTGTATTTGCATTAACTTAGACTCTCGATTTCAATTTGTTGTCTCCGAATATCTAAAAAGTAACTACAAACTGAACGAACTAGTTTGGGGACTCGACGTATCAGCTGCAGCAGCACTCGTAGATGTCCTTCGAACAAGTAATACTCTGACTCACTTGCATTTGACGAATGGCTCGTGCATCACATCACTAACTCCAGCTCTTCAGGCGAATCGCACCTTAACGCATTTAAGTATGCGTAAAACCAAAGTCGGTGATAGGGAAACGAAAGAACTCGCAAAAGTTCTCCGGTTAAATCACACCTTGACTCATTTATGCTTAGCTGATAATAAGATAACACATATCGGAGTTGAAGCTTTAGCAGAAGCTTTAAGGTCCAATAAAGCATTGGAGAACTTGGATATCGGATATAACTGCATTGGTGATGGGGGAGCCGTGGCCCTTTCGCAAGCTTTGGGGTCTAACCGACCAGTTCATTCGAAAGAACTCGCAAAAGTTCTCCAGTTAAATCACACATTGACTCATTTATGCTTAGCTGATAATAAGATAACACATATCGGAGTTGAAGCTTTAGCAGAAGCTTTAAGGTCCAATAAAGCATTGGAGAACTTGGATATCGGATATAACTGCATTGGTGATGGGGGAGCCGTGGCCCTTTCGCAAGCTTTGGGGTCTAACCGACCAGTTCATTCGAAAGAACTCGCAAAAGTTCTCCAGTTAAATCACACATTGACTCATTTATGCTTAGCTAATAATAAGATAACACCTATCGGAGTTGAAGCTTTAGCGGAAGCTTTAAGGTCCAATAAAGCATTGGAGAACTTGGATATCGGATATAACTGCATTGGTGATGGGGGAGCCGTGGCCCTTTCGCAAGCTTTGGAGTCTAACCGAACGTTAAGGTCCTTGAATGTGGGTGGTGGATTACCACTTAAATATATTGCGCTTGGTGATCGAGGGATAAGAGCTGTAGCACACGCTCTTCGATGTAATAATTCGCTGACTTACCTAGATGTCAGTGGACACTGTGGTGGGGGATCAGCAGTGTTAGCGCTTGGAGAAGCACTTCAGTCAAACTGTTCTTTGACTCATTTATATTTGAGGGGTGAAAATGCTTCCACTACCCGACTTCACTTTGGTAATTCAGCAGCAGGAGCCTTTTCAAAGGCTCTTCAATCACGCGACACTCAACTGACCTATCTAGATCTACAGTTTACCTCATTCAGCACATCATGTGTAATAACTTTAGCAGAGGGTCTCAGAGTTAATGGTACTCTCACGCATTTATGTTTGAGAAGCAATAATATTGACTGTCCAGGTGCAGTAGCTCTTGCACAGGCACTGAAAACAAATCAAACCCTGACTCATTTGGAGCTTGGAGACAACAAAATCAGTGATGCTGGGGTTAAAGAATTTGTAAAGGTTCTTCAGTGGAATGAAACTTTGATGTTTCTAGGCTTGGATTACAATCGGAAGATTGAGTCAGGAATAGACCTCTGCAAGGTTTTGGGCGGCCGATGGAAATCGGAGCCACGTTATCCTGGCGGCGTAGTGTGGATTAGGAATTAACGAGCATTACCTGCCCAGAGAATTTGTCTCACTGTTATTATGTTGGCCCAAATCAGGACTAAATGAAAATATTTCAATTTCTAAAACAATGGAAAGGAGGTGGTTACACGTACATGCAAAGTACTCTGAGAAACACTACCGGCCTACTGAAATTGTGATCATTCAAGCATCACTTGATGGTATAGCGTAGACTTTTTAGTCTTGATGTACCATGGTTAGAATTTGGTTTCCGGTTTCTCGCCTTCAAATTAAGGCCCATCCGTGTGCAAACAGGTGTATAATCATATTATATTTCTCTGATTCACGAAATATTTTCAAAACAAAGAAAAGGAGAGAATGGTAGTGAAAGAGGTAACTTGTCAAGAAATCTATTTCTCTTTGTAATGATAGAATCTGAGCAATGCTACGATGACGACGAGTTATTGCGTTAAATCTTAGTATAGAATAACCATGATCAGCTTCAGGAAAAACAATAAATGGAAACTGTCTTTTAATTTGTTTGGATATCTATCTCACAATTAAGTTCCTATTAACTCATTTCTATTTTTTTTTCTTTCGAGTGGAGCTTTTCTCGGCTTCTGCTTGGGGTTCCTGTGAACTCCATATAAGCTCTCCTCACCTTTTTCAGATTGCTTGCTCTAGCATCTGGTTTTTTTTAACAATACAGAGCGCGAGCGTTCGGAAACTACAGTGTGCATTTGAAGAGAATCGCTCAGTTAGAGCCAATATCACTTGTGAGTTGTAAGTTATCCGAGATTACTTTGGTTTTGCTTTACTACATTGTGTGATTATTTCAGAAAACTCGCGCCACTTTTTAAACCAATCAGATTCAAAACTAAAACCAACCGCGACTTGTCACTCATTTTCCCGCGCTTCTGGCAATTTGCTTGTTTCTATTTTGACGCTCTTACGATATTTTCCTTTCATGTGACTGGTCACTTAGATTATCGGTACTCTGGTTCGTGGATTTAAAACACTTCATCGAAATGCGCTCTATGGCCCATGCGCATCGTAAGAGCTTTTTCCAGCAATGATCATAGAGAGACCTTAAGATGTACCGTCCGGTTTAAGGACTTTCAGTAGACTATAAGTTAGTTAGAAGTTTGACTCATTAACCGGCCTTAGACCCAGTTTAAGTACATGAAATAAGAAATTTTCGTCAATTCTATTCATCAACTCAAAGCTCACGCGTGAGGTTAATTTCTATGTCCACTTCATGTGGAGGCATCGTCTTTCAAACCTTTAAGGAGGGGGATTGAATTTGAGTGGTCCCTTTCGTTCCCGCCAATTAGCTCTGGCAAAAGGGTTGGCAGCCAGCTGGCGGCCGATGGCAGGGAAAAACTGAAATGCACAAACTTCTACAGCAATTTTTACCCCCAATCTACTGGGCTTGTTTCTACGGAGGAGCTGTGTACCTTTCTTCAAGAAAGACGAGCCAAGTTATTTATTGCTTGGTAGGCATGCAGGCAGTGGTATAATGGTATGCTGAAGGCAAGCGATGATGCCTGCGACAAGATCCCTGAACAGACTTGCTCCTAGTCTCTGCTTTGAAATGAAATCAACGAAACTGATGTCGAATTAATCTTGACGCTCATACAAGTTTATACAACCAGCGTCTCCGTAATGTAAAACAAAAGTGTGACCAAGGGGGGCAAGGTGTGCAGCGTCCGCTAAATGCTCTTTTATATTTTTGTGGCGGACAGTGTGCGTCCGTCGTAATCGCATTATGCAATGATCAAGTAGAGGCTTAAATCTCCCCTCCCTCCGCTCCCCAGGCAACCCACTGTCGTCTGTGCCCGGGATGGGGACATGGAGCCCTGCCTGGCTGGGGTGGGGAATTTGAAGCGGAAGTGGCGAGTGTTTCCAGAGAAACGCATGTGTTTTAACTTTTAATGTAAAACGCATGTGTTTTAACTGTTAAATAGTTCACTTACGGGAATGAACAGCTCAGAAGAAAAGGTCTCCAAGGTCTGGGTTTGAAAGCTTGGTCAATGAGTAGAAAGTCATGTTATAGTCGCTTATCAATGATAATGATATTTTTTATTTGTGTGGCGCATATTCCATAAAATAATCATGTGCGCGTAACAATTTCTCAAAAATATTGATACTAATAGTAAAAACTCATAAGTAATAATAAATATAAAGTTGTGATAAGTACATACATCAGTTATACATGAAACAATGTATGAAACTCGTCATATATTTCAGAAAATAACTAAGTTGTTATAAGAGATGATAAACTGTTCATATTCCTGTGGTTGTTAATAATGTCTACTGTACTAGCGATGGCTGCTTCTCTAAAGAATAAAGGCAGTCTATTCCATAATATTGGAGCAGCATCCATAAACGCACAGTCACCCACTGTCTTCTTTATTCTTAATATACTACCAGTTCATAAAATACTGTTGCTTTTACAACGTAAATATACTCCGACGGGGAAAGAACTTCTAGTAAATCCAGAAGTAGAGTACAATTTTAAATTCTACGCGGGAGTGCAGCGGCAACCAGTGCAGCATTTAAAGTATTGGGGTGATATGGCCGAGCCTAGGCGCATAATAAACAAGCGTAGTGCAAGCCTTCATAACTCGCTGCAATTTCTTCATCTGATATTCTGAAACCTCATAAAACAGGCTATTACAGTAGTCTAACCGACTTAGCTTGAGGTGAAGGCGTGAATAAGCTATGTTAGTGTACTCCCTTGAGAGATATTAGGGACTTTAAGCAAACCACGACGGCAACGAGAACGTGGAAAAACAATAGATCTCATTGGCAGAACAATAGCCCAGCACGTGCGTTTTTAAACTTGGTACATTTCTTAGCTGTCCTTTGCAAAACAACAACGTGAAATCACCAAAATTTGCGTCGTCTGCGAACCTAAACCGCGGCGGAAAATTATTTTAAGTTACATTTGGAACTCAACGCTACTTTTATGCGTTATGTTGAGTTTGAGGTCTGGCGCCCTATGAGATGATAAACGCATGCAGCCATTTTCGAAATTCTAACTGAAAGTAGAAACTCATTTTCTAATCGACGTGTTCCGGGGCGTTGCCTTCCTGACTGCGTAAACACGAAGGCGCGCTATAAAAGGAGAGGTGCCTTAGGTACCTCTGGACCGTTTGTCAATCAACCATCGTGTGATGAAGAACTCTAAAGAGTCAAGTCAGCTTGAGCTATAGCTAATCCAAAGCAGTGAAAAGCGGGCGCATTCCTCAAAATTGTATTAAATTTTTATCATCAGACAAGAATTTTTGACATTTATATTTCCTTTCTCCAATGGAAACTGTCTTTATTTGGGGGGGCAAATTTGAAATCGAAGTAGGTGGTTCGCACGTTACATCATTGCCACCATGCTGGTAGAAGTAAACATCTCATTAGTTCCTTTTGTTCGTTTACCAGACACCTAAGGGACCTCTCCTTTCATAGTGCGCGTTCATGTTTTAAAGTCCTTATTAGCTGATGTGACGAATGCTTTAAAGGTGGTATAATGCACTGGCGCAGGATTTGTATACATGAATGGACTTGTCCATGTGGGAGTCGAATCAAGTTTCTACGTTCCTTGCAGACAACGCAGGTGCGACATCAACTTCGCTAACATGGATGCTATTAATGATCATCTATCCAGCAATCAAAACAAATTCCGTCGTATCGTCATTTAGCCAGAGCATGTTTTCTCTTATCCAAGCACGTACATCGCAGATACAGTTCTCTAGTTCTGCCACAGCTTCGATTTGGCTCAAGCTGTCAGGTGGCCTGAATGACAAATGTGGCTGCGTTATCTAGGTACGTTTCATCGGCATAGGCATGCGCAGAAGGGAGATGCTACCGTATGTTATCAAACAGCTTGTTAGTATAGGTAGTAATTAATAACGAGCCTCACTATGAACTCTACTGAAAACCGCAATCAATAATCCGTAAACCGTACAATGACTGCAGTCTGCGCGGCAGGAAATTATGGTCGACCGTTTCGAAGGCAGTGCTCAGATCATCTAGCTCGACGGCGACGGCAACGAGAACATGGAAAAGCTAAAGATTTTATTGGCAGAATAATAGCTCAGTACGTGCGTTTTAAAACTTTTTACATTTCTTAGCCGTCCTTTGCAAAACAATAACGTGAAATCACCAAAATATGCGTCGTCTGCGAACTGAAACCGCGACGACAAATTATGTTAATTTCCGTTTGGAACTCAACGCCACTTGGTATGTTGGGGTCGAGGGTTGGCGCCGTACGAGACAGTAAACACGTGCATCATTTTCTTAATTCTAATTAAAAGTAGAAATTGATTTTTTAATCGACGTCTTCCTTGGCGTTGCCGTCCTGACTGCTTAAAGTCCCTAATAGCACTACGGAATGTGCAGCGAAGAGTGTGAGAATTGTTACTACCCAGACTACTATTTTAAAACCTTGAACAGTATTTGATACAGCTCAGTAGAGTCTGAAAGTCAAGCGACTGAAAACGGCGATGGTCACTTAGGTGGCAAACACTGTTTAAAGCACGAAAGGGGGCTGACAGAGAGGTGACAACCCATCCAAGAGAAAATATCACAAGAGACAGTACAAAGATGCGTTCATGGAACTTAAAGTTACTGCATTAAAAATAAAGTGACTCAAAAAGCCACCTGAAGCGAAAGCAACGCTTTGTAGTCTACCATGAGGAACATGAATTTACTTTTTCTTGGTGGTCCTATTGCAATGGGCACTGACCGTAAGCTGTTATCACCACGAGGGAGAGATATCAAGACACATGGACCTCCACTTACGGCCATTTATAATTATGCAATACAATAAAATTTACATAGGAGGCAAGAGACCCAATTTGACTCTCATCATAACAGGACAAATATTAGACCGGTGTCTTGTTTGCTTGTTTTTTGTTTTGTTTTATTTTTTTTTGTTTTTGTTTTTGTTTTTTTTGTTTCTCAACTTCTAGCCTTTTTTGTGTTCATTCCACAAACTGGCGCAATCATCTGATGTCAACAGTGTGTCAAGATTTAATTGTTTATTTATTTGTCTATTCTTACATGTTTGTAGGCCTAAATGACTTACACTTTCAGAAACACGGTTTGGAATATCGTATTTCCTCAAATAAGCGCCCTCGCTCTGCTCTAAGGAGAAAGATAAGGATGATTTATTTTCTGTTTGTTCGCCCAGACTCCCGAGCCAGGGCTCATGATAAAAGTTACTGACCTATTTACAAATATAAATATTTATGGCTGCATTTATATATAATATATATGGCTGGGTCTTATAAGGACTGGGAACTACCGAATTCACGAATTTGATTGGCTGAAATCAATATTGAAAGCAGTCTAGATTTTCCCATCTAGACCGGCATCTAGACCGGTCTAGAAAAAAAGGTACAAAGAATATAAAAAATTGGCATATAAGACACAGCCATATAATAAACATCTTATTAACCGAGCTAGGTCGGTCTGTATGGGAGAATCTTGACCTCGGTCGCTGGTACAGACCTCACTGCGTTCGGTCTGTACTGGCGACCTCGGTCAAGATTCTCCCATACAGACCTCCCGCTCGGTTAATAAGAACTAA